TAATGTGTGATTTCAGAGGTGGATACAGTGTGAAAATCAACCAAACTTGTAAGTGATTATTAGGACCCGACACTCCAAACCACACTTCTAGTAGATATGTTTTTGCATAGAGCAGATTAATATTTGATTGAGAACTAAATAAAGTTTTGCATTCTGGATTTCCAAGAATGGTGTTCCAATATTTAAGAATTAACTTTTTTATCAATAAGCAGCGGCTGTGTCAACATCCATCATATCTTAACCAAATAAAGACACAATAACACTCACATTTCACAAAATAATTTATGTGGCGGCCGCCAAATAAATAGTGGCGACCGCCAGATATATCAGTGGCAGCCGCCATATAAATTATGTGGCGGCCGCCAAATAATACGTGGCGGCCGCCAGTTGATATCTGGCGGCCGCCACTAAAAAATATTTTTTGAACGTGGCACCAACGGGCTTCCGTAGTAATGTCCATTTCCCAAACACGAAAATCATATTTCGTGGTGGTGGTGGTGGTGGTGGGGGGGGGGGGGGGGGGGGTTAGCTTCGAACTTCAGTACCAATTTTTTTTTCCAAACACCTCCAATATCACCATTTTTAACCTATATTGCGACGTGTCTAAGGAAATCGGGGGGGGGGGGGGGGGCTAAACCTACGAAACTATGTTTAATGTCTATACTAAGTATATATTTGGAAAAAAAGTGGGGGGGGCTAACCCCCCCCCCCCCCGGTTCTGACGCCTATGCAGAACACTACAACTTACCCCTTTTTGGACATTAACTGCAACGTGCCTGTTGGAAGTAAGGTGACTAAACATACGCAAAAATGTTCAATACCTATATAATGTCTATCTTTGCAAAATAAATGGGCCCCCCCCCCCCTCCACCCCGTTTCCGACACCTTTGAGTCATGAACTTAATAATTACCGTATATCAAATAATTTGGTTTAGATTTAAGATTATTACAAAAATAATCAATTGTTACTGACAAATGAATTTTGCATTGCAAAACAATCGCAAACTTTACATGTATATAGAATGTTTATTAGAACTAGATAGACAATTTTTAGTTATGAAATAGCTGGGTTTTAGAATGAATAGATTAAAGGGGAAAAATAATTTAATTTACTTTTTTCTTTCAAAATACGCACATAAAGTTTTATTTATCATTTTAAAATGTAAATATATCCTCCTCTGTTACAACAGGTATTCATTTATAATTGTAACAGTTGATCATTGTTTACGTGCAGTTTCCATAATTAATTATTTGTTTACACAAAAATTGCACCTAATTCCACGTAAAATCTTACCTTTCCCTACCTGATTTCAAAAACTGGGAATATGTAGAATAAACCATAATTATTTTGGGGCCGCGAGATAAAATATTTTTTTTTTACCGGTGGCTTCCGTAAAAATCAAGCTACACATAACAACTCTATTGTCTTGCCGATTGAAAGCCATACTCAGTGTAAAATATTTTCACAATAATCAAATCGATAAATCGACATAATAATTAAAGTGACAACTTAAAAATAGTAGGTAAAATTAACTGCTTTCAGATTCATTATTATACTTTTTCAATCTTTCCCTACTTTCCATCTTTTTTTCAATTTTCAACGTCAGTGAAAAACGCAGAGTAATTTGGAAAACGACCTTGCTCCATAATTGTAGGATCAAGTTTAGAGTCATTAAATGTTCGTCTAACAGTAAGCCATTCATTTTATCTAGCATATGATCAATTTTTCTACAAAAACAAGATGTGTTTGTGATGCCCCCGTATGGCAGCTTATGACGAAGTTAAAAGTTTCTCAAATGCAAGGTCACAATTAAATCCCAAGGTCAAAAGATTAGAATATTAATTTGTTATTAAAAGAGAGAACTTGTCTCAATGAATATACCGTTGAAATATGAAGGTCAAAGAACCAGATGTTCAAACGTTATAGGCAAGATTAAGGTTTTTGTTGAAGTAGGTCAAGTTTGAGGGGCAATATGAAAAAAATTATCCTTCTGTATTCAATAATCCAGAAGTGAAAAAAGAATAAGATAGATTACATGATCAGTACATGCTGGTCCCCACTTATAAAGCAGGTAACAAAAAAATTATCTTCAAGTGTTAGGCACATTTTATGAATTGTATTTTAAAATAACTTAGATTTTATTCTGCAAGTGATAATCCAACTTATTCCCATAGTTCTCATTCTAAGGAGGAAATTCTTCAAAATTATATGTGTGTTTTGAATAATTTTGATATCTCATAGAACTAAAATGAATTAGAACTACCATTTACGACTCGTATATATATTGGATTGCAAAATTTCATAGGAATCCTTGCAAAAACGATACATGTACATGGCGGGTTCTACTGAATGTTCAACCAAGCCTCTTTCCTTACTCCTCAATAAGATATCACATGTAACAGTAGTGAAGGGGAACTTTCAAGAGAATATTCAATACGTGGAGTGAATCAGATGTTGATGGTTAAAATTTCCAAGGAACTTTTGGACATTTTGAAATCACAAAGTTTCACAAAAATCAACAACTTTAAAACTTAAGTCTTTTCAACTTTATACACAACCATTCCCAACGATAAAGTAAAGTCCGGGCTTTTTTATATCATGGACAGTGGCTTTTTCAATAAAAATGGAACTCGTAAATTTACTTACCTTCTCATTTGTCATTTGCAAAATCATTTTGTAAAAAGATTCTAATTGTACAACAAGTACTCTGAAGTTGACATCAAAAAGATGCTTGAGTTTCTGATTGACAATATCTATGTCGATTTTTAGCGACCAGGTCTTCCAAGAATATATTGAAATTTCCATAGGTACCAATTGTGCATCATTATTTGCAGACCTATTTTTGTATTCATATGACGCAGAATTTTTGCAAAATTTTATGCATGAAAAGAAGAAATCACTTGCTGTGGCCTTCAACTCGACATTTAGATATATCGACGACGTATTGTCAATTAACAATCGTAATTTCAAGTCTTAATCCGATGTGATATATACTGGTGAGCTTGAGATAAAAGATATCACTGAGTCTGATTTGTTTCAATATTTGGAATTTTTATTTTTGAAAATGACCTTTATTGGCTAAATTGTAAGATAACAACCATGCTTTATGATAAAATTGATGATTTTAACTTTTCTATCGTCATCTTCCTTTACTTTTGCAACAATCAGCTGCATACGGAGCTTATAAGTCTCAGTTGATTCGATACGCTAGGACATGCTCTACGTATGAACAATTTCTAAAACGAGATAAATTATTGACAAACAAGAAAGTCATCTGTCTCGTTTAAAATCATAATTTGGTAAGTTCTATGGTCGAAACACTGACTTTGTCAGCAAATACAAATTATCATTAAGTAGAATGCTGACTGACCTATTTCATACTACATGAAATTGTTAGTCCGTTATTTATACACTAAATTGAGGACGGATTTTCCCTTTATATCCCGATTATAAGGAGCACACGACGGGTGTGTCCGGTCGATAGGGAATACTCACTCCCGAATGGCCCCTGAATCCACCTCAAATGATTTGCAGGTCCTTCTTTGCTCTGCTTCTACTTTATATTTGCAAATGGACTTTTGATTTTGAATATTGTGCGTTTTTTTCATATGTTTCAAACTCCAAGGCTTTGACTTACAGACAAAATTACTGGTAACCAGGGGAAAGCCTTGTCATAAGATGTATATACGTAAAATATAAAAGCCCTGGCACAATATGGCCAAAGTCATCATTTTTTGGAAGTATGTCAAATTGCCAGGTCAAGGTCAAAATGTCAAAATTGTTGTTATACCGAGGCGGTTCTTTTCACAAGGAATGCTACGGTTACTGTAAATATTCCCAGCCCGTGTACTAATTGTGCAAAAATTGTAGAGAGTGTTAAGGATTTTAAAAGTTGTTCAAACTCGAAGTGAAAGTCAAAAGGTCAAAAACCTTCAAAAACCTATAGAAAAGTCTTGTCACGAGTGGGACAAAGGTTTTGTTTTTTTTACGAGTGGAAAGCACGATTAAATATACAAGAAATTCTCTCTCACAAATGAAAAAAATTCCATGTCCACAAGCATGTCCAAATAATAATTTATTTGTTAATTAAATTTTGTTTGATTTTTTCCTTATAATCGACATAGCTGATAATTAGTGATTTTACAATTGTAAACATAGTTGTCCAGCTCAAGACAACTCAGTATTATATGTTTTGCTAAACCTTATTTATACATTATAAAGAAAGTAGTTCTGGAAAGTTGACAGGTATGGAGTATGCATAAATGTAAATTACTAATTTTCAGAAATATTGGCGGTTTTATCCTTTGTCAGGATGGTTGTTTTTTTTTTTCTTATAGCAGGTCATGGGATAATTTTTTTTTCAATACTCTTTGTAAAGTTTGATTGAAATCCCATGGATTCAAATTCCGACCAAGATCAACTAAAGTAGATAAATATAGTTAGGAATCTCTCCTTTGAAAAGCATTCGGCTCTTTGATTTGAAAGGTGCATGTCTTTCGAATGAGAGCTAGCATAAGAATCGAAGCTCCATGTCCTGACAGGCGTTGACACGACATAGTTCTCTTAGTGCACTATGACACTGATTGCAGAATAAAGGTCAACTCTGAAGCCCTACTCCTGTATATGGTTATCTCAATGTATGTAAAAATTATCATGAGACGTTAAACAACATACAATCTATAAGCCGATCTTTGTGAAGGGATGAAAAATCTCGAGACCTGCTAGGTCTCTGATACTAGTACTCTTTCACACTGTAACAAAACATTGTTTTCAATTGATCAGTGAAATATTCTGGAGAGGGACGTTAAACAATATACAATCAATCAATCAATTGATAATCTTTCACACAGTAGTACATGTATTACTTTCAGTCACAAATTGAATTACAGTATTATACTGTTTAAAATGAAATATGGCTTATTTAAAGCACAATGTTTTGATCTACAGAGAAACTCCAGAGAACGGGAATAACAATAATAAGAGGGTATTTCTGTATGAAGCCAAACTCAGATTGATGACAAAGAGAAAATGAATTATGGCCAAAATGATGTCCAAACTAGTGCTACAGAAATCTCTTAGAGTGACAGGAGTTAGGCGTTGCCGTCACATTTCCCATGTGACTCCAGACCTCGTCTGGATCAGCGATGTTGATAACAATCTCGTTTTGACAAACAATGTAGGTGACGATCTTCATCATTTGACAGATATAGCTAGTGCTCAATATGGAATACACACTGTGAATAAGGATAAGTGTTTAATTTATATAGACAGTACGGGTAACATCTTGAAACTGTCAACAGACAATACAACAAAGAGTATATTAATAAAGTACGCGGAACCTTGGAGACCACGGTGTATCTACAGCTCCCCTTCCACTGGTGACCTGCTGGTCGGGATGGTTAATACTGATAATCAGGGAGAAGGCAAGGTAGTCCTGTATAATTCAACTGGAGAACAAATTCATACCATTCAGCACGACAATTCAGGTGGGAGAATTTACAGTGAACCAAAATACATAACAGAAAACCAAAATGGAGATATTATTGTGTCTGATTGGCTCCTTAATGCTGTAGTGGTAACAGAACATGGAGGAAGACACCGCTTTTCTTATACAGGACCTCCAGAAGAAAGCCATGACCTCAACAAAGTGGGACCATCAGAATCAAAAATGTGGCCACTGGCAATTTGTACTGATGAACTATCACATATAATAATTTGTGATCCTTTTAACACAAGGATACATTTGATTGACAAGAACGGTCACTTCCTGTTATTTATATTGACAAAAGAACGAACAAATATAGGAGAACTATTTATGAAAGGAGGACTAAAAACAGAAGAAGTATACATTCCACAGAGCCTGGGTTATGATGAAAAAACTAACCTTCTATGGGTTGGATTAGCAAACAGCAACATGGTAGAGATATACAAATGTATGTGTGAATTTTTTTTAAATATGGCTGCCAATTCATATTCTTGAAATATTTTGATTTTTAAACTTCTTTTTAGATTTTGCCGTAAGTTTACTAAGTAATTCACATTTTCTAATCTGCATCCTTTGATTTCTATCAGTCTCATAGTTAAGCATGCCTCTTCATATATATATGTACGAATTATCTGTATGTTTTTAAAAACGATCATTGTTCGATGCGTTGTGTTTGGACAATTTAATGAAAAAAAGAACACAAAAATTGAATCTTATATTTTTTGTCATGCAAACCAATTCAAAATATCAATTGATTATCATTATGTTACAAAAAATGATACGCCACGGAAGAATACAAGTTTTAAGATTAATGATATGCTTTTCAGATACAGCAAAGGAGTATAGGACAGAAGTTGCTGATTCCACTGATGACACCATGCATGTTTCTCCCAGCCCCCAAAACTGCTGAAACAGAAAGTGATCCAACACTTCTGCAAGAGAGTTTTTCCAAACCATTTATAGGTCACGTGCGCTGAAAACTAAAATGAAACTTTCTGAGCCCTTTTTCCCATTTGTCTGTCTGACTGTATGCTTCTCGTTAACCCCTGCGATAGTTTAAAACAAACACTTAGCACAAAATAGCCTTGTACTTTAAGTTTGCTAAATAAATATAAGGCCTCATCCTCCTAAAAGTGTTATGATTATGGGTTATAAAGATTTCTAAATGACAAATTATTAATTATGAATATACTTTTATATAATTGATTTTTACTTTTTGGTCTTGTTTAACATCTGTAGTTGAAGGTTAATTGTTTTCATTTGATGTTTAGGAAACGCATTTTTGCACATGTTACCAATATTTAATTCCTGTCTCACGATATCAATGTCATTTACTCATTCTTGTTATCAACTTTATGGTTAGATCTGAGGATCGTGTTCTTTGAATTTGTTATGCTTAGCTCTACCTAATTTCAGTGTTGTAAATTAATGTCATTCGGATTCCCCCTGTTCTTGCAATTTTCTATCCTTAATTCAATTGGCTGGTCAGTACGAAAGTGGGAGGAGTTGTCAAAGATGTGAGTGAGTTTGTAAGTGAGTCTATCTTAAGAAATTCTTTGTAAAATTCAGTTTGTTCTATCTACGAAATTTGTTCTACATTATCTTGTGTGAAATTCATATTTTTGGACTTACAATGAATTCTAAACTTTAAAAACCGACTTATCAGTTTGACAATTTATTACATGGTGGGGAATCTAAACTTTTTTTTGGACTACGGTATCCTGTATACCAACTTTGAACATTTTGGATTGTGTTCACCTTATTCAAATATTACTGAAAATGTCATGAAACTTTGGACATAAACCAACTCAACATCGCTCACCATCTTCCTTGGTTTATTTGATTCTCGGTGATTTTTCAAATTTATAGTGTGGCGGAAATTCGAGGGGAAAAAATGTAAAACCCAGTGTTACAGAGGAGCTACAATCCGTACTTGCTGAACTCCTGTGCTCAGTCATGTTCGGTATATGCATGCCTCCTGTCCACATACTTTTCGCTTCGTTCCGTGGATGAGGATTTCCAGCAGGACCATGCATGGAAAATCTACCGATAGACCAAGCTCCGGCTCCGAAACTTTCTCCGTTCTTAAAGATGACTATCCAACCATTTGCTGAATTTCTGTACTCAGTCGTGGTCGATATGCATGTCCCCGTATCCTCCCACTTTTCGTTTTGTTCCCTTGATGAGGATTTCCAGCAGGAACGTGCACATTGTACCAATGGACCCAGCACCCAAACTTTTTCCGTTCTTAAAAATGACTATCCATCCAATCATCTTCCAGTCCTAGATATGAGAAAAATGATCTTCGGAATTCTTTCTTTACCTACAGGACTTCCTCTAATACTGAAGTCTACAACCGAGTCAAGAAGATTGTTGGGCGAAGTCACGAGCCACAGGGAGTCAAGAGCTGGCGTACCTGCAGACGTTTCTTATGTATTATCACCTTTTCACCATGCCAAAGTCAGTGAAGCTGTTCCATCCCACTTTATTGACTGTTAATTTTTTTTTTTAGAAGCAATGATTCTGAGATGTTCATATGTTAATGCATGAGACAAGGTAGTTATATATATATTGTAGTACCTTTCACATAGACCTGTATATCCCTTACAGTTGCATGAAAGTAGTTTTTTATTACAATTTGCGATATCGATGTGCTATTGGTGTTTTGTTTTTAATATCATTATAATTATGCATTGGTACGAGTGTGTCTATTTTGCTCAAGTTATTTAACTGCAAGAGCTTACACTTTTCTCGTAGTGCTAATTACTAATTGGTATTGGTCACAATCTGAGCTACCAATGTGAAGTACATGTAGCTGTTGTGAGAGATAGTTTGTATACTTCTGAGGCGTAATGATGCCTGAAGCTGATAGTTTTTTTTTTATCATGATGTCATATGTCGTTTATTTTGCAACTTTGTTATAATGTACAGCTTGAAAATAAGCGCCAGTACGGTATCAATGTTATGAGTGCTGCATAAAGCGATGACATGCTTGATATGAGGCATGATCCCTTTTTGTAAATATGTGTGTGTAATTTTCTTATGCTTGTTTATGTTTTGCATTTTTCTTTCATTGTGGTGCCTTGTATATATATATATATATATATATATATATATATATATATATATATATATATATATATATATATATATATATATATATATATATATATATATATATATATATATATATATATATATATCTTTAGTTTTATGATTGGATTTTTAGATCATTACTATTTTGCAGTTAATTAGGTTTCACATGAAAGTAATTTTCTCTAGTTATTTAACTGTAGGAGCTCGTCTCGTGGTGCTGAGGAGATAATCTAATTAAGTCGAGTGACCGGCTATGTGAGGGAGCAGTGTTTACAAGCTCTGCTATTAATTACTGTTTGATTGTGGCTGTTTCGAAGTCATCCTTTATCTAAGTAATTATTTTAGCTGTTGTATATCAATGTCTCCATGTATGCTAATTGTTTTGTAAACCATGGTACTTACATGGTAGATGGATACATGTATTACTTTTCAATCATTTGTGTCATTACGGGTTATACCTATTTTTACAATTACAAATTAATATGTTTCTAATGTACAGCTTAATGAAAAGCGCAAGTACAAAAACATTGTTTTGAGTTTTTACTCATTTTGTAAATTGTATGTGACACTTGTTTGGTTTTTTTTTCTGTGTAATCTTCATTTTTTTTTTAATATTAATTTGCATTTATTAACCCCATGTAAAATTGTTTTACAATTTTTTTTTTCTGTGGGCGGATGTTATGACTATGGTTTATAAGGGTTTCTAAATGACAACCTATTAATTATGAATGTATTTTTATATAATTGTTTTTTTTACTTTTTGGTCTTGTTTAACATCTGTAGTTGAAGGTTAACTGTTTTCATTTGATGTTTAGGAAAGGCATTTTTGCACATGTAATCAATATTTAATTCTTGACATCTTTTTCCTGTCTCACGATATCAATGTCATTTACTCATACTTGTTATCAACTCTAAAATTTTTTAATTTGTTTTGCTTAGCTCTACCTAATTTCAGTGTTGTAAATTAATGTCATACGGATTTCCCCTGTTCTTGCAATTTTCTATCCTTAATTTAATTGGCTGGTCAGTACGAAAGTGGGCGGAGTTGTCAAAGATTAGATGTGAGTGAGTTTGTAAGTGAGTCAATCTTAAGAAATTCTTTGTAAAATTCAGTTTGTTCCATCTACGAAAGTTGTTCTAAATTGTATTTGTCAAATTCATATTTTTGGACTTACAATAAATTCTAAACTTAAAAAACCGACTTATCAATTTGACAATTTATTACAAAAGGAAGATAATTAAGAACTTTTTTAATTAGATGACATCATTCAAACATCTTCCCAGAACTACTTGGCCAAAAAGATTCAACTTTTGCAGCTCTCTTAAGGCTTACTATGGCAGAATCAACGGAATATAGACGTGCGAAAAATTTTATCAATTTATTTTTATTAATTTTATGACATTTTATCAACTGAATTAATTTTCATAAAGCTGTTTTATTATCACAGACATGTAGCTTATATACTTATTGAAATAGCATAGAACAACCTACTTTGTACTGAATTAAATTTGGTACCAGCGATGGACAGTCACTTCATAAATGAAAAGTACGGGTACTAAATGGAGGTCATGAACAAATTTCAATAACACAAGGCCATACCCTAGCTAAAATTAAAATTTGAAGTGATTTATAGTTTTTACATTCTTTGTACTTTCTGTAAAGTGCTACTGCTTTCAATAGAATTTGCAATTTATTACTTAAAATTTAATGTAATTGGGCTTATGTCGAAATATGCTTGACCTTTACTAAGTATTTTACGTCTTCATTAAGAAACCCTCTGGATTTAAAGAAAGCAGCAGCCTTTTCAATTAAAGGAAAATATCCTTTATCTATATTTAAAAAATGGTCAAGGTTTATTTAGTGTATGCCCTCGCGAAAACGCGTTTTAATTTGACACCTCAGTGTTAAACATATCAAACCTATACACAAAAACACCGTATAATTGATTTAATACATTCTTTCGATAAATAATGAGTAATCACAGTTAACAAAAGTTTTGTATTCGTATTAAAAGCCCATTTAAAATCTGTAATAAATATTCAATTAAGTATTGAAATGTATTTTTCAATGTAAAAAAAAAACTACTTTATCTCCCTCAAATGAATTAAATCATTTTTATCAAAATTACGTCATGTCGACAAGTTCCTTGAGAACAGTGATTGTTTTTAACTTGCTATGTGAGATTTAACCAGCAACTTTTTAAAATGCATTGATACATGTTAGTGTTAATGGTATTTATAATGCTAATGTAGTTTAAAGTTGCGAATTATTTCATTTCTGGTATTATGAGGTATAATTTTTTGTGTGATGTCACAATATACATTCCCCGTATAAATTAGGTCCACCCCTTTTCCTAGCCTTAACAGTGCTGCGTAGATGAAAACTTTATTTGATATACAGATTTAAATTTGTTCAAATATAAGCACCTCGAGGTAAAAAAAATTAGCAATATCACATGGGCTGATTTTTACAATTTCGCTTTTCTTATAAAATTCACCTGGCTTGGTATATATTTTTCTTAAGTTTATATTACACTTTTAGCACCAAGTTAACATATTCTGAAATAAGTTTTCACCTGTAAACTTTTACTGAATGTGATTTGTCTATATTTGTTTTTTCATTGAAATATTACTAATATTTTCCAAGTCTTTTTCATATTCCAGTTCTTAGAAGAAAAAATTCCAAGAACCATCCACATTTCTAAACATGATATTAAATCCTTTTCAAAGAAAAAATTTGTTTGTATCATCTGTCCTTAAAATACACCGATTTATTTCTTATGTGGGTGTGTGAATTTTGACCAATCAGATCGCTGCATCATCGCGTCATTTGCATCTGCGCTGAGGTCGGACATCAGTCGGACAAAATGGCGCTACAAAACCAAATGAAGCATATTGAGCCCCATTTTAATTCTATTTTTAATTCAGCTGTGTATCTAGAAACCAAAAATATACTTTAAAAATTGACAAAAAAAGTTTAAGACTTTAAATATCAGGATCCAACCTCGTTCTCAATTCATAATCTTGATTCCAGTCCAAGTATCTT